ATCATAAGACTCCAGGTTTTAATCTGAACCAGCCTGATCAGGATCAATGAAACATATAATACTGTTTTATGGGCATGATCTTTGGATATGGAGTGAAAAGGAGGGGATCTTAATGCTTATATTCCTTAACTCCTTAATCTTACATACGTAATATGCACAAAATGTAATAGATAATGTATAATGAAGCATAATATTAAATACTAATTATGGCAAAAAATCATTATCTGAGAAATGAAATTTTTTGATGAGACCTTTTAAATATTTCATGTCAATAAATCTACACCATCTGTATATTTGTGTTTTTCCAGTGACAGGTACAAGGTATTCGTAGATTTATTTAATCTTTCCACATATCTGGTTCCCCGACACTGGATACCAAAGATGAACCCAATTATTCACAAGTTCCTTTACACAGCTGAATACTGTGACAGCTCTTACTTCAGCAGTGATGAATCAGATTAAAATCATCTGCAAAAATCTATGAAGACATCGATTTCTCAACCTGCATTTTTTAAATTTTTCTGTGAATTTTCATGATACAAAGAGTCCTACTGTAATATATGTATATACATAGGTAAGCACTGTGGTGCTGTGACTCAATCCTGTAAATAATTTTATTGACTCATTTTTGTGATAATAGACGACTAAACATTAAGATAGGCAATCAATTGAATTGTAACATTGTACATAGAAGATTTTCCTATTAAAAAGTCAGTGTTCCCTGATACTTACCTTAATATAACCATTTAACACAATCATTATCTTGTTTCATACTTTAATGAGCTTGTAAACTTCAGCTACTTCAAATATTTTATGCAATAAAATGTGTCATTCTGTACAAAGACTTACACAATCAAAAAATCTAAGAAATAATAAGAATTAGTCTATTCCATATATTGTTTTGGAAACATTGCTCGTCTTTATTGGGACTCTTGATGACCAATGACAGAAATCTACCTGAAGTTTGCCTAGAAGGGACGTGCTGGACAATTCCACTAGCTCAAACAATTGAGTGGAGCCTGGGGATGGATCCAGTTCCTGGAATATTAGCTTCCTGGAAGACTTTGAGGATCCTTTGTGTCTCATCTCTTCTTTCTTGTGGGTGTTGGCTTTATTCTTCCCTGCTGTAGGCCAGCTCCTTGCTCAGGCAAGTTCCCAGCTTCTAGCAGCTCTGGACCGGAAAGTCAGAGGTGCTCTTCCCAGCTCTGGGAGGCAGTCAATGCAGGATTGAAGTTGGAAAGAGTGATAGTTCCCTCAACTGAAGAATGTTGTTTCCGAAAGAGAGGAGGAGAAAACACACTAAACAGTGATTTACTTCATTTCTAATAACAAGTATTAGATTCAGAGTTTAGATCAGACAGGAGTTTTATTCTTCTTTTTCTAGATCAGCCAGGATATTGGCAATAGTTCGTTAAATTTCTTTTATGAAGGGAATGCAAAATATTAACAAAGGAATCCAAATGCATATCAACCTTGACCTACGGTGATTATCTATAAGCAAGCAGCAAGTTCTTGATGGAATTGAACTATTCTTTGGTCTCAATTAATTTTTGTCTTACAAGGATCATATTGTCTAGTTTGTCTCTAGACAAACAATTTCATGTAATTGCTTTTACCTATAGGGCCCTTGCATGTTTGTGTGTGTGTGTGCGTGTGCACGTGCATATGTACAGAGTGCCTGAGAGTGGCCAAGCTGAAAAATACACAGACAAGTAACATGGTGGCTAAAGGCAATGGCTTTGAAATCAGCAAATGTGGGAGCAAATTCTGGCACTGCCATTTATTAACTATCCATTCTGGTACCAAGTCCAGTTTAAGCCCCAGGTTACTATCTATATGATGGGGATAAAAATACTTATCTCAAAGGGGCACCTGGGTGGCTCAGTCGGTTAAGCATCTGACTTTGGCTCCGGTCATGATCTCGGAGTCCTGGGATGGAGCCCCATGCCCAGGTCTCTGCTCAACGGGGAGTCTGCTTCTCCCTCTCCCTCTGCCTTTGCCTCTGCCCCTTCCCCAGCTCATGCCTCTCTCTGTCTCTCTTTCAAATAAAGAAATAAAATCTTAAAAAAAAAATACTTGTCTCAATCTTTGCTCTTCTCATGAGGTAATGAAAAAATATGCTAATAGATGCTCTGTCACAAGATGCCTTGGAATCTTAGAATAAATGCTATTTGTCAAGATTTAGGTTTTTTAACAGACTACTTGATTTGACTTAACTCTTTGTATTTTTATTTCTTGGTGTGACTAAATAGATAGTTGTAAGAGTTTTTTTCAAGGGATATATCAGTAATTCTTAATGTAAAAGTCAAAAACAGTTTGTAATGTCCGTTTCTACCCTTGCCCCCATTCCAACTTGCTTCTAGTGCTGATGATCTACTTTAAGTTATAATTCTTAAATAAGTCACAAAGTCTGTGTAAGGTTGCCTAATTTAGTATTTGCTTTGAGATCTTTGTGAAATCACACTCAGGAACATCTTGATGATTTTTGTCATGACTCCTAATTATTATGTGAAAATTTCATTGCTTTCCCTTTAGCCCCACTGGATGAACTTCAAGGAGCTCACTATGGCTGGAGCATAGCATATGTCCATATAGAACAGCGGAGATTGAGGCAAAGAAGATAGAAAAGGGCTTCTTCGTGAAAAGTCATTTAAAATAGTTGGAATATTATCTTTTAGGCATTGGAGAACTCCTGAATGGTTTAAAGCAAGGAAATAACATAATGTTGTCTTACAGAGATGCAAATCCAGGGGAGACATAGTAAATGGATTATAATAACATCCATCAGAATCACCTGGAGCACTTATAAAAATAAAGTGTTTCCGGTGCCTGGGTGGCTCAGTCGGTTGAGTGACCGACTCTTGGTTTCAGCTCAGATCATGATCTCATGAGTCCTGGGATCATGCTCTGCATCAGGTTCCACACTCAGCAGGGAGTGCTCTCTCTCTCTCAAAAAAATTAAAAATAAAGGGTTTCATAGTTTTCAAGTGGCTTCTGGTCTGGGGACTATACTTTGAGAACCTCTGTATTAGGGGACATAGGGTTTAGTGACTACTGCCTAGTAGAGTTGAGATATAACTGAAGAACCTGCATCTATGAAAGGAGGGTAGAAACAGAGGGAAGGTAGGTGATCAAGTGATGGGTTACTAAGGTGTAGTTGACCTGATTCAATAACATTTCTTTCACTTTATTGATTGGGTGATTACATAATGTTGATGCTGTTGATCAAAATAGAGACTCTAGAAGGTGTGAACGTTTTTTGTTTTTGTTTTTGTTTTTTTTTTTCCCGGAGGGAAGGGGGGATAATTTTGCAGACATTGAGGTTAAGGTGTCTATGGAGAAAAGCAAAAATTGAATATATGGATTTGGAGCTGAGAAAATGCTTCGTGAATATAAGCACATTAACACTGTTCACAAAATGTAGGTCATGCACTTATCAAAAGTCTTCTTCACCCAAAGTCCAACATAGGTTGTTTTATTATAAATGTCATCAAAATCCAGAACGGCTGAGAGGTATTAATCATTTTTAATTTAAAAGTCTTTAATATTTGGAAAAGAGTATCAGAAAAGCACTTATATTGTATAGAAATCAGTAGATAAATACAAGCTAGAATGACCAGCACACAGTTCCCTTTTGACATATTTGGATAATTAAAATATTAATCAGAATATCAATATTTTTCTTCCTGGAACACTTCTAAACCTGAGTCAACACGTATTCTTTTAAGATTGCTTCTGGTTGGTGTAAAACAAAGACATACAGTGTTTTGCTTTTGATTTTCATTTTTCCCTTTCTAATAAAGGGGATGGATAAATAAAAGTCAAAAGTGAGAGGCAATATGGGATGGCCTCAATTTTTTCGTGGTTGCTGTTACATTTAAAATTTTGGTTTTGTTAAGGTATTCTACATTAGAAAGCAACCATAAGTTTCAGAGAAGAAATGTTTACATATGCAATATTTGATAGGCTTTTCTTATATTAATCCACTGAATACTTATATTTATTGCACTTAAATTTAATGAGATCAGCTCTTCCGCTCTGAGGTTCTTACACTGCTATACACCCACACATAATGACTTTTGCAAGAAAAAACATTGGCATCAAGAAGCAGAACCAGGTAGAAGCCAAAGGGATGCACAAAAACGTGGTTAGTATGGGGGTGTGGGAAAAGTAAGCAGAAAAATGGGAAAACAGCCTGGGAAAGTCAGTTTGGTTGATAGCCCAGATTGATAGGAACGGGCTTTGAAAGGGCTGGGAATGAGGGGGGGAACAGAAAGGTAAGATCCTGATTTGATAAATGCTTAGAGGAAAATGGAGCCAAATAAATGGTTATAAAATAGAAATGGAAAGTAAAAACTGAGACTTCTTTAGCCAGGGAAGCCAAACCACCCAGAACATTTAGGAGCTTCACAGTAAAGAACAAGAGAAAGAGAGTGGGAGAATGCGTTGTTCCTCAATACAGGGAGAACAAAGGAAGAAATAAGACCCTACTGGAAGCCTATTGACAATGAAAATTCCCAATCAGTAATTTGTCTCTCAAGCAATGCTCCTGGAGTTTTTCCTACCACCTAGTTGCCATATTGGTCCTTTAATTTCAACCGATTTCTCTTAAAAAGTGGTTTTGTCCTTTTGTTTCTTTCTATATGACCTTTCTACTGTTTGAAGGGTAAGCATCTTTTATGGAGGTAAAGCAATTGAAATTTCAAAATCCTTAAGAAATTTCATCTCCGAGGGCTGTGAACATAATTGCGAGAAGCACACCTCGTTTTAGGCTGACTATTCTTGTATATAAGTATAAGCTAAGGCCGGTGATTATATTCTACAGAGGAAAAGAAATTCTTATCCCTTCTTTAATCCTACTAGAAGTATATCATTAAAGACAAGCAAACAAAAAACAACAGTCAAACTGGATAAAAGCCTCTTCAATTTGAAGAGATTCTTAAAGTGACCTTCATCCCAGAGTTTAGAAACTGTTCCACAGATCTCTCCCTGGCCATGGAGCTGATGGTCTGAAGGCGAACAACGCTGAGAATGGAGTTCTTTGCTATATCTTATTATAAGACTTCATTTTTGTCTTGTCCCTTGATCTGCCCAACATATCACACAAATACAGCAGAAACAGAATCTGCAATACCTAGAGAAAAAGAAATTATTAGCGCTAGTCTATTTCTTTCAAAAAAATAATGTAATGCTTATAGCTATCTGTCAGTATAAACATGGCAACTTCAAAAACAAATATTAGAAGAGATGACTAGTATTTTTTTTTTCAAGAAACTTCAGAGGTACCTGGGTGGCTCAATCAGTTAAGCAACCGACTCTTGGTTTCGGTGCAGGTCATGATCTCAGGGTTGTAAGAATGAGCCCCGTGTAGGGCTCTATGCTCAGTGCGGGGTCTGCTTGTCCTTCTCCCGCCCCTTCAGCCCCTCCCCTACTTGTGCATGTTCTTTCCTTCTCTCTCTCTATAAAATAAATAAAATTTTTTTAAAGACTTATTATATAAACACATTAATGTATCTGAAATATTTATGGCACTCATATACATTGCTTAGAGGAATACAATAATTTAAAGATTGTTTTAAATACAATTTGAAAGTTCAAACTAAGATTTGAACTTTAGCAAAATTTAAATAAATCACAAATGTGCTATGCTTTCTTGGCACACAAGATCATAGATCTCAATATCATGGTGAAAGCAATAAATAGTCCATTTGAAGACTGGATTTCATTGTAATTAGCTATGTCTTTAAAATCTCTTGGGGCCATGGGATGCTATCTGTGTTACACCATTGTTCATAAGAGAAATGTGATCATTATCAGGTATGTAACTTTCAGGAAATATTCATTTTCAGGAAGGATTTGGATCCCTGCTTAATTACTAACCAGGCAGGCACGAGGAGGATCCCATTGGAACACAAGTAGAAAGGAGAAATTATTTCAACTCACCCTAGTAGCTGGGGGCTAAGAAGAGGTGGTGGAGGGAGGATACAGAGTCATAATGGAGGCAAGTATGAAGGAACGTCTGAATGATGTTCTTGCAACTCTCTTGCCAGAGCCTTGAAAAAGCCACCCTTCAGCCCAGATCCAAGTACTACCACTTTGACAGTTAGAGATAATTTAGGTTTAGTAGCAGAGGTTCAATGAATGGCAGAGGTAATTTAGCTGCAAGTTCCAACAATGGAAAAGCCCCCATGATGCTAAAAAGTAGAGGCCTGATTAGTTTGCTAGTGCTCTGGCTAGAAGATTTCTGTGATGTTCACTCTCCTTCATAAATAATTTAAGAAAAATATTTCATAGGGGTGATAGAACAGACCACTGATTAACTCTCATGGATCCTACTTTATGAAACCTTTGGCCAGTGGTCACTAGATTGAATCAAAATATAAACTCTCAAAACTTTTTTTTTTAAAGGTTTTATTTATTTATTTGTCAGAGAGAGAGAGAGAGAGCACGAGCAGGGGGAGGGGCAGAAGGAGAGGGAAAGGTGGATTCCTCGCTGAGTAGGGAGTCCAATGCGGGACTCGATCCCAGTACCCTGAGATCATGACCTGAGCTGAAGGAAGATGCTTAACTGACTGAGCCACCCATCCATCCCAATTCTTGAAATTTTCTATAACTCTTTTTTCTCAGTCTCACTCTCTGGAGAGTTATACAATTTTTAAAAAGTTGTATGTATGTTAGGAATCATTGTAATGAGAAATTAAACGATTGTTTTCAGATGTAATGTAGTTTAGGTCGAACTTGATTCATAAACTGTGCTGATTTCCTAGATCAAAAATTTTAGAATATAGGTTTACATATAGGTTTTAGAATACAATTTAAAATACTCAACTAGCTATTTTAATTTGGTTCGTGGTTAACCAAAAACAAACAGTAAAAAACCATATTTGGTATTCGCTTCAGTCCCTCAATTCTGGTGTATGTTTTGCTTGAGTCTGTAGGTGACAAGGGGCATATTATATCAGAAACAATTCGAATGCTCAGATTTTCATACATTTTGATACAAAGAAAACAGTGATTCTTGATATCCTTGAGCAGGTATTGTGGTGCAAATTAGGAAAATTGATTCAGTTATAAAAAATAAATGACGGAGGTGCCTGGCTGGCTCAGTCAGTGGAGCGTGTAACTCTTGATCTTAGGGTCGTGAGTTCCAGCCCCAGGTTGGGCGTGGAGTGGAGCCTACTTAAAAAAATAAATGAAATAAATAAATTTTGGAGAATCTCAGCCTCCTAAGTTGAGTATTTATGTGGTTTTTGAAATTAACGTTGGTAAAATTAGTACTCTATCTTATCATATTTTGCACATTATATTTGTTTTCACTGCAAACCCTCTTCCTTTTCAAAATGTGAACATGTGCAATGTGTCTCTTTAAGGAACACTATTTTATTTTTATCAGTTGGCTAAAGAATGAAAATTATTACTGTGAAAATGGTCTGAGTACATTGGAAGCAGACTATGGAGTTAAATTATAAGCATACAGGTTTATAATTTTAATATTTTCAAAGTGTCTTCCTAGACATTTAGCCTGAAGTTTTAAACATGCATTCATGACTCACCACAAATATTGCCTCCCATTTTAACATGGGCATAGCCATCTACTCCCCATGAACTTCCCCATGAGTTGCGCACAATCCAATATGGAGTACTTCCTACAAAACATAAGATGGTAACAAACCTTGAAAAATTTGGATTTTGTTGTGAATGCATTTTTATTTCAAATTTAATTCTTGATGAGTATAGCAGCTCTGAGCAAAAGATTGAAAGTGTAATGTGATGCTAACATAAACTGGCTAAGTAAACTTGAGCTGCACTTAGTGTCACACTCCAATTAATGGAAAAATATATATTTGAATTGGGTAGCATGAAATGAAAACGTACACACAATTCCAGGGAATTAGGAAAAGGAAAAAAAAAGAATTTTTAGATCTGTATGATAAAATAACAAGCACTTCTTTTCCCCCAACAATTATTCTAAACGTTCCAGGTAGAGAATGCACATTATTTAAACCAAGAATTATCATTATTTTAACAAGGCTGTCCTCAAAATTGATTGGGGGGACCATGACAGAGTATTTATACCTGGAAGTCTACTGAAAAGTTATAAAGGTCTTAGGAGGACTTAGACATGGAAGGACCAAATTTCAGCATTTTAATGGATGGTGATCATTTGTCAGTCAGAGTTCAAGCTGGAAAGCAACCAATCAAGTCTTATCAGCACTTACCTATTTTATCAAACCCAGTTATGAGAACTGCATGATTTGCTTCTCCACTAGAGCAATGGTGCTGTATTATTCCTCCCAAATAGTCTTGCCAGCTCACTGCATCTACTACCACTACCAAGGGGCCAAAGGTAAGAAGTGCTTTTGCCATTTCATCTTCTTGGTCACTACCGAAAGAGGAAATATATGGTTAAGGAGTTGTTTTTAAGGCAGAGATATTTTATAAAAATAATCTATTTAATCTATGTATGGTCAGGAGTAGGTTTGCTTGCAACTACAGAAGACCTAAAAGATGGAAACTAGAAGTCTGAGAGACTGGGTAGTCTAGGACTGCTATGGGGCTCCAAGATATCAGGAAACCAGAATCTTTCTATATTCTTGCTCTACCATGTGAGGTTTCCATTGCCCAGGTCAATTAATGGTCCAAGGTGGCTGCTGGAGCTCTCACCATTTAACACATATTTCAGACAGCAGAAAGAAGAAAGAAGTGCCATAGGCCTGGTTGAAAAGAGTTCTCCAAAAGTAACACACATGCTCTGCATATGTCTATATGCATCTCACTGGCTAGCACTCAGTTATGAGGCTATGTTTAGCTTCAAGGAAGATAGGAAATGGAGTTTTGTAGCTGGCTGGCAAAGTATCCAGCTATAATAGGGGGATTCTTTTAATAAGGAAAGTGAGAAGACTGAATGCATGGAGATATATCTCCGCCATACCATGTGAGAATCAAGAGACTGACAAACGTATGTGAATGAACACCAAATGCGGAAATCAGAGGGGAGGGTTACACAAAAGTGGCAAATGTCATTATATAACAGAAGCAACGTTAAGATGCCAGGGGAACTAGGAAAAAATTGTGAAGCCTGTGAAAGACCCAGTTATTGCTCTCACGCATGGTCACCTACTGATAAAGTCTAATGTTACACAACATTCGGCCATCATCGATCTTGGAAGTATGTGATTAAGCCATTATTTACCCTCTTAAAGGTCAGCCTTACGAGTGAAGGACACTGAAACCAAGTTACTCATATTTCAAGCCATTAAGTTAGCATTTGGTAGTTTATTGCTGCAGCAAACCATGGGTAGATTAGTAGCTCCAAAGAGTAAATAATCTATCATCATAACCTGCTGGGGATCAGTTTCTATCAAGGGGATATTTTGTCTACAGATGGGGAAAAAATTGAGTGCATAAGAGAATTTATTGAGATAGAAACTACATATTCATTCTAAACATTTATTCATATTACCTGTTAATGTGAAGATCTTTTTTGGAGATCTATAAGCAGTCAATTCTATTTTTCCTACTATAATAATAACTTGTATTCATTAAGATTATCCCGAGACAGGCAAAATTACAAAATTCCTATAAGGCATCATGGTGGGGTATAGGCTTTGAAGTTCTGCATAGCTGGATTCCAATAACAGCTATAGACTGGAGTCATTCCAGTCATACTGGAGTCCAGTGACTCCAGCAAGTGACTGAAGTCACCTATGTTGCAAAATCAACATATTAGGAGAAAATCAAAGGTATACATTTTATAGCATGCCTAACATAAATTACACTCTGAATTTAAAAGAAATAGCTTCCTTTCCTCATTTCTAAATTACCTAATAAACCAATTTTGTCCAGCATAAGTTTTAGTGTATAATGTATATTTTACTGTATTCTAATTTTTGAATATTTTGTTATCCAAATATGACAAATAGGATTATTTTTGTAAAAGAGTGATACAGGTGTCTCTACCTTTGTAAGATGACAAAAGATATACTGTAAATACATGACATCAAAGGTCCAGGGACAGGGACAACATGATGGAAAGAGAAAGATAAAGAAGGAAAAATATTTTTTTTAGAATGCAAAGGGTAATTAACACTGTAAGATCAAAGAAACAACTGAGTAGTAGTCTCTGCTTTGAGGCAGGACTAAAGAAAGATATCAAAGATATTGGAAAGTATGAAATAGGAGGATATGCCACAGGCCAGACCCGCAGGCAAACATTCCATTTAGCCCCAGAACTGACTAGCGTTGTCATCTCTTGTGTTTCAGAAAGATGTTGGCTTTTAGTAAGTTAAAATATACTTTATTTTATTTCCATTATTTCCATTATTAGCCCAAGATAGAATTACAATTGACCACCGAGCTGGGGGTTAGCGGTGCCTAACCCCCACACAGTCGAAAATCCTCAAGTAACTTTTGACTTCCCCAAAACTTACTAGTCTACTGTTGACCAAAAGACTGACTGATAACATAAGCAGTCCATTAACCCATCTTTTGTATGTTATATGTACTTAATACTGTATTCCTACCAAAAATTTAGGGAAAAAGTTATTGTGAAAATCATAAGGAAGAGAAAATATTGCACTGTACTTCTTGAAAAAAAAAAAACCCACTTATAAGTGGAATGTACAGTTCAAACTCATGTCATTTGAAGGCCAACTGTACTATCAAAATACATATTGTTGATAATGGATATATTATCAAATCTTTTTCCATATGCTTAATGTGGCCCTATAGTTAGTTTCCCAGCTCTGTGACCCTCCCTGAGTCTCTGGAACCTCAGATATGTCAGGGGCCTGGTCCAGGGCTTGATGACAGCAGTTGCTTGTGGAAAATCTTCCCACACCCTCTGGCCCTTACCATGGTGGTGCAATCAGCCAGGCTTCCAAAAAGGAACCCCTGCAGTTCTTTGCCTGAGGCCCTTCTCTCTTAAAGAGCCAGGAAATCAAGCTCACCCCACACCTCCACCTTAGCAGCACCCTCAACTGACATGGGAGGTAGTAAACATCAGTTTGGATGAGATAACTCTGAAGTGCCTATTTTACCTTGGCCCCAAGAGCTCCCCAGTAGGATCAGTATCCTCGGTACTAAGTTGCTTAATAAGAAAACCCTGCTTCTCCTGTTCAGTCTCATTTCCCTATTTCCCTACAGCGTTTTCAGGGATCACTGCTCGATCACGATATTCCTTCCTGAACCTGTTCTTGTCTCAGACTTTCATGCGTCAGGTAAGAGTTCATTCCATTCTTTCAGTTGTTCAGGCCAAAAAGCCTGGACTCATCATCCTTGGCTCTCTTTTCTCTCATTCCCTCCATAAAATCCTTCAATATATTCTGTGGGGCTTTATATTCTAGGAGGGGTATTAACCTATGATGTCTCACGTCTAAGACCATTCTTCCAACACTGCTCCAAGGTTATCACCCGATAACATTTATTACCTCATCTCCTACTAGTCTTGTCCATCTTGGGACTATAGTCCCATTGGCTTCGTCGTTCCTTAAATATGCTACACATGTTTCTATCTCAGAGCCTTTGCACTTATGGCTTCTTCTGCTTGGAACAGTCCTTCCCCAGATGTCTGCATGGTTACATTCCCTCACTTCTCTAGGTATTTGCTCAAAAGTCATCCTCTCAAGGAGCCCCCACCCCGCCACCCTTTTTAAGACTGTATACTCCCCTGATGTTTCCTCTTGCTCCCACTGTTTTACTTAATTCTCTGTAGAAATGATTACATCTAACATTCTGTACATATTTTTATTTGTTTTCTTTATTGCCTGTCTCTATCACTAAAATACAGTCAGGGTTTTTCGTCTGTTTTGTTCACTGCTGAGTCCCCCCAGAACCTGAAACAATGTTCAACACATATTTAAATGAATGAGCAAATCAATGAAAGATCTTCTTGCGGAGTCTAACACAATTAGCATTGTATTGTCAGAATGTTTGCGTTCAGTGTAAACATAGAGATTTTTTTATAGGGACCTCTTTCTTCTTAGCCAAAGGGTTAGATAAATAATGCTTCAGGTCCAATGCCAGTAACTTTTACATTCTCTTTCTCTCCCTCTCTCTCTCTAATTCAGACTCATGCTTAGTCTTCTTTTGTGTCTCCTTATTTTTTTTGTCATTTTGCTACTCATGATGAGGGATTCCCTGAAGATTTTAAGTGACATTTTGTGGGAGTTTTTTTTTTTAATTTTTTAAGTGACGTTTTGAAAATCTAGTTCCTTCGTTCACATGCTTCACTTATACTCGCAAGGAATTGACAGCTTATAGAGACACACTTCCTCATTTTTGAAAATGTGTTTCCCTCAAAAAAAAGTGTGGAAGAATGCACTCAGTGACTCTGCACATTTTATTACAGATTCTGTGTAGGCCTGCCATCTGTGGAATCAAGGCTCTCTGGTGTGTGGTTCCTAGGGTCACTCCGAGAGCCCTTGCTGTAGACAGAGGCTGTGCTGACAATCTGCCAGGCTTCTGGTACACGTATGCTTATTTAGACGGGTTCCATTTTGTTCAAACATCTAATTTCACCCTTGATTTCCTTCAGATCTCATGGGTTGGCACCATTTGGATCAAGAGATTCTTTTATATTCAGTATCAGTATGTTTTAGGGTGGTTTGTCACCTCAGCTGAATATAATTTGCTTTCTGCTTTCTCTGTTTCAAAAGACTGTGCAAAGATCCTTTTATATTTTTTAAATGACAAAAGGAGTTATTGGAATCTTCTGTTGTCCTATTATGCCTGAACACCTATTTTGCACTATATCAAATGGTCACAATGGTTTTCTAGCCAGCTTTTAGCTTTCCATGCATTTTTAAAGCATTTTTTTTAATGACTGTTTGCCCCTGAACCTATCCGAAGTCATCTTGCCCTTCAACTTCCAACACAAGTCCCTTTCCTCAGCGTGTCCTTATCTAACCTTGCATTCCCATCATGCCCATAGTGTGTACCACATAATCCACCTCCATTAATATCCTCTTACTTGCTTCTAACATGAAAGTTTAAGTCTATTCTTTTCTTATAGTTGATGCCTTAAAAAAATGCAAGCGTGTTAAAAAAAAATACTTCTTGGTAAGTAGGCTGCTTGATATTAACTGGAGAGTCTACACAAAGCAATTTTGGATCAATTCAACAGTGAGACTAAAATATACAAATGACAATTATGACAACTCAGTTAGTTGAAAGGAAGGTGGTAAGTATAAATTATACCTTAAACTGGATTTAAATGCGTTAATTCTATTATAAACACAAATGGAAAAATAAGTAGGTCATATTTAAGAAACAACATCCATATATAGCTCTCCATTAGTCTCTCTAGCAAAAAGTAGGTCTTAAGACAATTACAAGTATGCAGTGATGCCTTCAATCCAGTTATTAATTCCGAAGAGTCAACATATCAGAGATTAAGAAATACAGAGAGAGACACAATAGAGTAAGACAATTACCTGAAGTCATATGCAGAATAACCTTTGATGGAGAATCCAGACTGCGAATTAGAAAAGTAATGGCATAGACCATTCTGGGCTTTAAATGGGTACTCTGAATCTCTCACCAGTTTTACTTGCGTCTAAAAGAAAACAGTCATCCAAAGTGTTCTCTATTTAAAATGCAGTTGTTTTAGAAATCAAATAGAACTTACTACAATGTGTCCAAATAAGGTTCAACTTGGCCACATCCTCATCATGTGGATGTTCTTTAGGTTATTAAGATCTTAATTTCAATCTTTAGGTGTTTGTTATGGACACGCTAAGTAACTAAACGCAGTACCTTTCTCTTTTACTCTTGTTTTTCCTCTATCTTCCTTCCTTAGAACCTCCTTCCATTTGATCATAGTCTTATCGTCTTTTCTCCTGACGTTGCAATAGGGCAACTCATTTTCCTTCCAGAGCTTCTGGTTCTGTCAGCAAGTCTTTGAGACTCAGGCAGCACAGGCGATGGCCAGATCAAGCACTCTTTCCTCCCACGTCTCTCTGTGCCATACATCTAGCATATGTCACATATTTTTTAGTTGTCGATAGACAAGCCTCCTTTTCTGATTCTGGGCTTATAGAAGCCAAAGGACCCACAATTCACTGTTGCCCCTGATGTGCACCGAGAAGCTTCTGGCATGTAGTAACTCAAAATATGGCAAAAGAACAAGGAAAGGCTATTCCAGTTTGGGAAATTCCAGCTTGACAATTTTAACAAAACACAGCAACATCCTCATTGGTTGGCTTCATGCAGTTGGTCCTGGATACAGGACAACCTCAGAGTCTTCTAAGAAACAGAGGACACGGTGGTGTATTGGATAAAGCCCTCCGGTGAGAGGCCAAAGACTTAAGACACAGTCCTGGCTCAGCTCCTGATTGGGCAACACGATCTCACCCCTCAGGTCTCATTTATTCACTTACGTAAGGAGTTACTAAATGTGCTTATTTCTATTGTCCCTTATAACTGCAATATTCAAAAATTCTATGGAAATAAGTAATCACATGCTCTCATCTTTCTGGGACATTATGTGATCGTATCTATGACAAAAAAAAAGCATTTACCTATTAAGAAATGCTAAGAAAGAAACATACATATTTTTCTGAAAACAAATCCAGGCAAGATTTTTCACACTTTGATCTTTCAATAGCTGACTTGCCTGAAAGCCATTCATTTTTAAATCTTTTGATTCATTCAGGCTTTGGCCATCTAAATTTCAAAACATTCCTTGGTATATGAGAGTAAACTGATTAAATTCTGAATGCATGTGAAATAAATGAAAGAGGAAACAAAGAGTTTAAAGGCTGAGAAACTAGTCACCTTATTCAACCAGTTCAAAGCATTGAGAGTGGAACCTCCCCGGCAGCCATAATTATTATATGAACAGTCAATGACCTGCTGTACACTTAGGTCTTCCAGAGGCTTCCCTTTTATTGCGTATGCAGATTCCACAGCACTCACCACGCTGAAGGCCCAGCATCCTCCACACTGTTTAAAAATAGAAATAGCATTGTATTTATTATCAAATAATGTCCAAACCACGTTTGCCCACATCTCTAAATATCACAAGTTATCAAGTCAAGTAAAGTGAGCAGGATCTGGGGGCCTACAAAATATTAATGCCCATCCTCGAGATTTTCAGATTGACAAAAGAAAAGAAAACCAAAATTCTCTCTTAAGCACCCAAATATAATTATTAAAGATAAACTGGCAATCACCATTGTAAACTAGAAATGCAATATAATTTTAGAGATTTTTAGAGATTTTAGAAATTGAGAGAACACCTGGATGGTCTTTTAAAGACGAATCAGTTCATTGAACATGACTTCTGTTTCGAGGAAGTGTGCCAACTTCCACCCATTCTTCAATCCCTCTTGTTTCTTTCCTGACACTCGACCTCTATGGCATCCGCCATCTCCACCCCAAGGGGCAGAGGCAGTGATGAGGTGACGTGGGGTGAGGATATACATCATCCATGTTGTATTCATTATTTGATGGACACAGGAGCTGAATGAATTACTTTTTAGGCCGTCAAGGGGCCAGTATGGGCATATCACAGATACACATAAAATATCATAATGATCAAAACCCATACTGGTCATTCCTCATTCAAATATTGGCTGACGGTCTTCCTGATTCTGAATCTGTTAACTTGATTTTATTGGACAAACTGGAATGAAAGAATAAAAGGGTTGGTCCTGAAAAAAAAGGGAGAAGATGGAGGAAATGAAATCAAGGACCATGCACAAGGAAGAAGGATCCATAGAAAAGGCAGCGGTAAGAGTAAGATCTGAAGCTGGGCAGAACTGACTTCATCACAGGACGTGTGCTATAGAGTTAGGCAAAGAAAGGAAGAAGAACAATTGGTTGACTCTGTGGGGTTGTGTTGAGCAACTTTATGGCTTTAAGGGTCTTATTATGTCTATATCTCTAGTGCCTATGGCATAGGAAAAAAGGCACTAAGGAACTGTATTTCAGGGTCTCCACCCCTTGAGAAAAGTGACTACAGGTTGCTGACACCATACCTCTACCTAGCATTAGTTTACCTTCCCATAGCTGCCCCAGGAAGGCAGTTTCTGCTCAAAAATATCTCTCCCATATATTCCTTTAACTCAAGATTACTAATTAAATCGTATTCCTTTAATACAAAATAGACACTTTTTGGAAAGATTCCGTTTCTGACTAGTTCACTCTTCATTATGAATTTAATAGTAAAGCAAATGATTTGGTGGTAAAACTTAAATCATAACAAAAGATACATTTAAAAAAATAACAGATGTATAATCTGAGAAGAAGGAAAGGAGCATCCTGACTAGACAGTGACTGAGAAATTGCTTGGTCTAAAACACTATACACGGGGAGGCTGAATGACCTGGTGAGGATTCCAATGCAGATAAATTGAGACTATATCTCTGCGGTTAGGGGGTCGATTTTCCCTGGTCAGCTGACATTCCCTATGCCAATGGGGGTGCAGAGGGGTAGGTTTATCTTTAAAATAAAAGTCGGCCTTGGGGTGCCCGGGTGGTTCAGTGGGTTAAACGTCTGCCTTCGACTCAGGTCATGATCCCAGGATCCTGGGATCAAGCCCCACATCGGGCTCCCTGCTCAGCGGGAAGCCTGCTTCTCCCTCCCCCTGCTCATGTGCTCTCACTTGCGCTCTCTCTCCCCCTCCCTCTCAAATAAATAAAATCTTAAAAGAAAAAAAAAATGTCGGCCTTGACATCTGCCTCTCATTTCACCAGAGTTTCTCCCTTCATTGTCATTTCTGGATAATCGGAGTGTGATTTTACCCAGAGAAATGATGGCTTCCATTACAAGTTTGATTGAACTGGACCTCAAAGTTGACTTCCCATGCATGCTAAGATGATTTTAAAAAGAACAACAACAGCAAAACAACCCTAAAACTCACAGTCTGCTGGTTCCTCACTTGGGTTACAACACGCTTGTCCCGCCAGTCAAATCTTAACGGTAAAGACACATTGGGTACGGATGTTTTCACCTCTGCTGGGTATCTGGGCAATCTGGAAGATTTGCTTCTCAAATAAATTGCTGAATAGAAAGAGGAAATGAAAAGACAGACAGCATTATGTTATAGGGAAGGTCCCCTGGGATTCTTTTTGGAGGAATTTTTCAAACACAAATAGTAGCTTTCTAGTAGAGCCTGCCATTTGTGATTTTCCTTTATGCTTTTTCATAACTTGAAATGCACTCACTGAAAGCTAAAGAATTCCTACAAGACTGGAGCTGCCACATAAAATGACTTGTCTGATAGAACTTGGTCAATAATAAAAATGAGTATAATTGACATCATTAGCTTTATCATAACGCATGGAACTGTGGATGTCTAGAATAGAAATAGCACTAAAAAATGCAGAAGGGATGAAACACTGGCCCTTACAGCCACATGGAAACATCTATAATGATAACATTCAGATCTTAAGCAATAATTAGAAGACAGTAGGCAGGAATTTACATGCTTGACATTCAGTATTTAATAAATGTTAATTATGACTCAATTTACTAGATTCACAATTAAACAGTTCCTCAAAAATTAAGGAAACTGATCAAAATCAGGAAACCAAACAACTAGTAGCACAATCACACTATACCTTTAAACTCTTCTGGAAACAAATAAGAAAATTGATTTATTCCATAGACGGCACTGGAGTTTTCACGAGGGAATACAGAATTCAAGTATCGGTGTCTATTAAGGCTTTCCTAAAAGAAGAAAAAAGTTAATTTACATCACCTATGTTAAACTTTGCAGAGCAATGTACGTGTAACTGACTTGGGCACATTTTTCAGGTATTAGAAGCAAAGCTTGATTTATTTTTTGCAGATCACAGCAAAAGACTGCATAAGACCTCCAGATCAGAGTTATAGACATTTGTATGAAAACTACCATCTGATTTCAGGTATTTTTTTTTTTTTTTTGATGTAGTGTTCCATGATTCATTGTTTGCATATAACACCCAGTGCTCCATGCAGAACGTGCCCTCTTTAATACCTATCACCAGGCTAACCCATCCACCCACCCCCTCCCCTCTAGAACCCTCAGTTTGTTTCTCAGAGTCCATCGTCTCTCATGGTTCATCTCCCCCTCCGATTTCCCCCCCTTTATTCTTCCCCTCCTGCTATCTTCCTTTTCTTTTTTTTTTTTAACATATAATATATTATTTGTTTCAGAGGTACAGATCTGTGATTCAACAGTCTTACACAATTCACAGCACTCACCATAGCACATACCCTCCCCAATGTCTATCACCCAACCACCCCATCCCTCCCACCCCCCACCACTCCAGCAACCCTCAGTTTGTTTCCTGAGATTAAGAATTCCTCATATCAGTGAGGTCATATGATTGAGACTGGGAAAGGTATGTCTTATCCATTTATAATTCCTCTTCACTAAGCATGTTGAAAGCACTAAATATGTGTTTGTTTAACACAGTGGAAAAATAAAATGAATTGCAAGTAAACACTAGATACTAGTGGAAACTGTCAACAATAGACACTCATTAGATTAAAAAAATATGGATTTGGAAAGCGTGTCTGTATCTTTGTATTTCCCAGCACCGTGTAACAAAGCATGAAAAAAGAAATCAGTAAATAATAAATAAACATGATTCTATTCGAGCTTTATAAATCTCTCCACCTCATTAAGGGTAAAAAGGCTTTGTGAGAGCGATGCAGTCCTGGAAATGTTGCAGAAAGATAGATTGACTTGTCTCTCTGGAGGGAAAATATGACCATCATTTACAGATTCCTCAGCTCTGAATTTTGTGATAATTTATCTTAAGCTTGTCTTTTGTGACAACACGCCTCAATTTCCTAATGCTAACCAACTGTGTAGGATAAATAAAACTTCAGGGAACTACCATTTGGTAAGTTTCCAAGTCTAGCTCTTATATATTTGTTTATGCATTTATGTGTTTATTGTGTGTCTATCTCATAAACCTCTAAGTAAAATGAGGGCAAGACCTGCCTGTCTTGTTCATCACTGTATTCCCCACACTGAGCACATGCCTGCCACATAATGGATGCTTAATTAACATTTCTTGTTGAATAAATACACAAATGACATTTTACATACCTCGCGCCCTTAAGAACTTTAGCCTGATTATTTTTAAGCAAATTATTACTGGAACTTATCATAATCTTACTATTTCCTTATTGACTATGCCTGTTTATTAATGAAATAACAATGTTAAGTAAATTTTAGGTACTTAAAAATAATCTTGATAAAGCAGAGTTCTGAATATAATTTAGAAAGGAGATGTATAAATATAAAAATAGAAGAGAAATACAAAGCAAGTATCTATATTCCATGTGACAAACATGAACCAGAGACTGCTAGCTGCTAAGGAATTTAAAATTCATTCATTTTATAAGTATTGGTTGAACATCTTTGTGGGCTAGAGTAACCAGGGAAGGCATTGAGAATGTAGGACACTAAGAATGCATAGGAAAGCATGTGTTAGCCATGAGAATGGGAGCTTGTTTGCTGCATGCTGAATTACGACAACTACACGAAGAGAGGCCACGGTTCCCACAGGCCGCATCTAGCCAATGACTGAGCCCCGACGCTGACCTATTTTAGGGAAACATGGGACTCCCCTGAAAGCTGGCTGATAATTAATGAGTCCCTGATGGTTTCTCTGACCCTTCCTTTGGCTGCACGGCAGCCTACAGCACTTCCTCCAATTTTTCTTCCCTCTCTCCTTCACTCAGGGTCAGAGCTGCAGTGCAATCAGATAGCTCTCCCTGACCCTCTCCCCATTTCTCTCAGTCATTGGTCTCGTGATAAAGAAATGGAAAAAAAAAGGATAAAACACAAATTATCACTATCAAGAATGAGAAAAGGGCCATCACTACGATGCTTCAGTCATTAGAAGAATAATATTTTGAAACCGGTAAGCCAGTAAGTTTTATGAATGTATGTATGAAATGGACAAACTCTTTGGACATCACCAATTGCAAAAGCTGAATTAAGAGAAATAGAAAACTCTAAGCCCAGATGTCTTGTTTGGTGAATTCTATACAATTAAAAAAGAAATAATACCAATCTTATACACATTCTTTGAGAAAATGAAAGAGAAGGGAACACTTTGCAATTTATTTTATTTAGTTAGTTTATTTATTTGAGATAGAGTGAGTGAACGAGAGAGAGCATGAGCGGGGAGAGGCAGAGGGAGAGGGAGAAGCAGGCTCCCGGCTGAGCAGGGATCCTGATGTGGGGCTTGATCCCAGGACCCTGGGATCATGACCTGAGCAGAAGGCAGACGCTTAACAGCCTGAGCTACCCAGACACCCCTGCAACTTATTTTATAAGGCCAGTATTACCCTGATTACAAAACCAGACAAAGACATCTCAAGAAAATAGAACAACGCACCAATAGCCCTCAGGGTTATAGATGCAAAATCCTTTAGAAAATATTAGCAAATTAAATCCAATAATATTTAAAAAGGACAATGCATCATGACCAAGTGACGTTCATTAAAAAAATGCAACACTGGTTTAACATTTGAAAAGCAATCAGCATAATATACCATATTAATGGAATTTTTAAAAAGGAAGGAAGATCATACATTTTCAGTTGATCCAGAAAACGCCCTTGACATAATTCAAAATCTTTTCGTGATAAAAATCCTCAGCAAACAGTGCACGAGAGCAAATTTCTTGGACGTGATTGAGGGAATCTACAAAATACCTATATCAACCAGAGGCCAACTTCTAAGGGAATCTCATTTGTGAATTTTGTATGTCATCCCAGTGCAATGATTCTTGTCATTTCATGGCTGTCCACAGCCCACGCTAAGGCTATTTGATATTTACAATGTGCTTCTTGCCAAAAGCAAAGACCTCTAAACCTCTAAACCCCAAAGTGCTCATCCCCCCCCTTTTTGATTTTGTAAGACCACTAAAAATATTAAAAGTACTTACCATGAGAATTCTGAACAAAACATAATTCTCTTAAACATTTATATACACACACAGTAGATTTCTCTAATCTCTTCTCAGTTTTGCAACAAATGTCTTAACCACACTGCCGTGCAATCTTTGGCTATATAACTCAACCTTTTTGGTCTTTATTTTCTTCATTGACAAGTGGGGTAATTCTGACCTGGCAGAGTGTAAGGATTAAATAAGATAATGTTCAGAAAACAAAAATTACAGCGTCTGACAGAAAAATGTCAGATACTCCCATGCTGTATCCTTTTTTTCCCTTTAAACACAGAATATTTGGATATAGAAAATGTCATTCAAAGAGCATGCTTTCAGGTTTTCTTGGATTAATGTGGAGCTAATCTTTCCCACAGAATTAGAAATGACCAATTATTGATTGAAAGAAACAGACAGCTTTCATAGTAAGATATTATCAGTATACCCAAGAATATTTATTCTCCTATTTGCTATGACAGTAGGACACATATCAAGTCCACCTAACAGAGTTTCAAATCACTTAAATTTTAAAAAGCCCTACATTTCATTTCTGGAATTGATTACTCTTTCAAGTGACTTTTCTGGTCTACTTCGATTCCTTTGATGAGAGCAGATTTCACAGAAGCATCACAAACTGTTAGTCTATTGAGCTTCTGTGCCTCCTCATGTTAACAGCCTCTGTCATAGAATCAATCCTAGGTAAAGGACCAACTGCCACATGTTCTTAACATAAGGCAATGGAGTAGATCATAAGGGTATAATAGTACAGTAGACTATACGTACAGTAGCGTCAATGTGCCTAAAGCCATATAAAATATTAAAATGAAAGACCTGAGCCTTAAGTTCACTTATGAAAGAAGAGAATAAAGTTCTGAGGAGTATACAGGACCTATCATTAGTAGTTTTGAAAGGTGCAGAAGTGTGAAAAACAGACGGGTCATAGGATGGTGATCTATTTTGCGCTATGTGGTGTGTGCTCCCTTATAATGAATCCATGCTTTGGTGGGATGAGCTGTACACTGAAATTACTACAGAAGCAAAAGGTGCTTTATAAGACCGCCTTTTGTTTAGCACGCCAAACTCATTCTCACTTCTGTTATTCAGACTTTTCCCTTATCAGCCCTCACTTGTAGATTCTGAGGTTTGGTGTAGGACAAATCACACATTCTACATATGGATTTAAAATGTTCTCCTTGCTGGTGCTTTCGTTTCTGGAAGCTGCAGTAAGTCCAGGGATGAGCCAAAAGGTGAAATGTTTGTTGCAGTGCTGGAGCATCGCAGAGAATTTCTCTCAAGACTGCGGGAGTTGTAAATTTTACATCAGTGAATCTCAGCTGAGGCAATCTCTCCCTTCTTCCTCTTCTCTCCCAAGGATTTTTGGCATTGTCTGGAGACATTTTTGATAGTCACTACTGGCACCTAGTGGGTAAAGGCCAAGGACATTGCTAATCACACTGCAAGGCCCAGGACAGCTCCCCACAACAAATAATTATCTGTTCCAAAATGTCAACAGTGCAGCTGTTGAGAAGGCCTCTACTAGAATAATAAAAACATATACTTTTATAAGTTACTGCTTTACAAAAGTTACCTACACAAAGGATTTTTTATATGTTGTGCTGACATCTGTGTAAAAATAATACGCGTGCATATTTATCATGCAAAGTAAAATAAAAAGAAATATGTAGTCATTTAGTATTTGTGTTTGTGCATGCACATAAAGACTGAATTAAAAAGATACTCTTTTGAGAATTGGTTGAAGCAATTATTTTTCTAGTGTATTAGTCTTTACATTTTTCTGTTTGTTCACTGAAAAATGGATTATAGTACAATGTTTAAATATACAATATCCATTTAATAGGTTATAATTTCCTAGAAGTTGGTACATGTCTTATTCCCCGCTAAATCAGAAAACCCAGACCAGCTCCTTACATGTAGTGAATATCAAAATATTGGAAAGATGGATGGACAGATGGACAAATGAATGAATAAATTCTGATCCAAGATTTCAAGTTTCTGATATATTTTCATTTTGGCAATGCATGCATTAACCTAGAATCATTGAAAATGGTCACTTGAACAACAGTATCTTACATCAAATTCACCTGTCTATGTTAGGTAGAAAATGTGATTTAAAGCATTCTTGCATAGAGTTCGTTTGCAGAAGACAATCCAGATTTCAAGGGGCTGATTATGGCAAATATCTGTGACTTATTAGTTAGGATCATTCATTGTAAAATCTTCTATTTATACATAAACTACTATCTTCTATTTATACACAAACAACACGCCTAACAATTATATATAATTTTATTTTAACAATGTAGCATATAATATCATTTTATGGCAAGAATTTTTAAGGTGAATATTCTGAAATTTTATGCACAAATCACATTTGTATTGGCATATAAACATTATTCTGAAGTGAGTACATACGAGTTTTATTAGTTCCACTATTGGGTCTGTGACTTCTCGAAAGGCATAAGAATACGAACTGTCCTGTGGTGAAATAATGAGCATCAGTAAATAACAGTGCATTTAATGTTTAAGAACTATTCCTAGGAACTTATGAAAATATGTAAGGCAGGGATAACAAGACCCTTTCACCATTCTCTGAACCAACCACTGTGAAAGACATTACTAATCAATTAGACACTTTCTCCAACTGTCTCCAACTGCAATCCCCTGAATACTTTCCAATACCATATTTCAGGCAGCAACTATTAGTCAATCAGTTTGCAAACACATGAGACCTATTTGCTATCCCTAAATAAGAAACAAAGATCCAAAGACTACAGCTCTTGGTCCTCAGGATTTCTTTACTTTTTAAGCCATCTATAGATTCTGGCCCAATACAGAGTGTTTTATGATTCTATTTTAATTTTCAAGTTTTATTTTTTTTAAACTTTTGTTTAAAAGATTTATTTATTCATTTGAGAGAGAGAGAGAGAGAAAGTGGGGTAAGGGCAGAGGGAGAGGGAAAGAATCTCCAGCAGACTCCCCACTGAGCGCAGATTTCCCCATGAGAGGCTGGATCCCACAATCCTGAGATCATGATCTGAGCTGAAACCAAGAGTCGGAAGCTCAACCAACTGAGCCACCCATGAGTGCCCCTATTTTTTTAAAAACTTTAACTTCACTGTGAAGCAAGGACATTTTCTAGATTCTGCACATAATTTACCTAATGGGTAAACAGTGGGGCATCTCAGCCAATTCCTAACTTGATGTCATCTTATAGAAGTAAAGCATTATAGAGTTATACTGAGTTTTAGTTACCACATACTTTAATCTATCCTGCTAGGCCAGAAGAATTCTTCCAAATGCTCACGGGGACCAAGGAAGCAAGGCCTTTTCTATCTTTGCCTGTGTCCAGCCCTCTACTCCAGGTCCAGACATCTACATTCTAACACCAAGAGGTTCTCCCACTTTCCAGCAATGTGTTTTGAAGTCTAAACCTTTCATTTCTGGGCATCCACTTCATGAAGTAGACTCCCACTAGAAGCAATTGCTTTGAAAACTTTTGCAGGCTTTTTCGACTGCAGGTTTTTATTTATTTATTTTTTAATTTTTTATTTTATTTTTTATTTTTTTAAAAGATTTTATTTATTTATTTGACACAGAGAGAGACAGCGAGAGAGGGAACACAACAAGCAGGGGTTGTGGGAAAGGGAGAAGCAGGCTTCCCACCGAGCAGGGAGCCGGATGCAGGGCTCGATCCCAGGACCCTGGGATCATGACCTGAGCCGAAGGCAGTCGCTTAACCAACTGAGCCACCCAGGCGCCCGGACGACTGCAGGTTTTTAAATGTACTAAAAATCTTCATAAGTGTCCTCCTCCACTTAAACTTTCCATCTCCTGTCATGGATCCTTGTATTTTTCCTGAGAAAAGCTGCATTTTGGAGACATTCGTCTCCTGGGTACAGTTTCTTCACAGGACCAATATGAGTAACTCTATAAGTAAAATATATATACTTATAAATCATATAAATTGTATGTTAAAAATACATTTATTACTAGAGACTCCTTGTGCCTCCAATCCTCCAACATGATTTTCTTGAGGACAGCAGTGAGTTTATTTATTCAGCCACTGAATATATTATCAGTATAGATGAGATTGACTATTTTCTCTCTAAAGGGTTTGGGTCACCACCATTGGCAACCAAGCTCAGAACAGGGGTAGAACACAGGACAGAAAGTTTGTTCTCAAGCAATGCTTCTGGTTTTAAAAGCTAGAATGTAACTCAAGAGCAATAAAACAGACACAAAAGTACACATCTTGGTGTGGGCAAAAAACAAGAGTGGGCAGAATCAGGTAAGGCTAGGATTTCCTAAACACTGGAATTTTCTGGGGGAGAGAGGAGGAGCAGAAAAGAATACCGCTACAGAATTCCAGGAGAAATCCCAAGACTATACCAGCAAAAAACTAAATATAATTCCAACAAGCAGTATTACTAAATTCTTATTTTTTATTTAGAATGAATCAGTTTTCTTTTATAATAAAATGATATCTTTCATGATTAAAAAATTGTTAAATGGTATCAGATATATAGACCAGTGTGAGGCAAACTCTAAATCGGTATCTCTAGGTTACAGGAAAGAGCCTATTTATACTCAGCTAACTAGGTCCATTCCAGAGGTTTAAAGCCGGGTTAAAAATCTAAGGATTATTTTTTTTAAAGACTTTATTTATTTATTTATTTGGCAGAGAGAGACACAGCGAGAGAGGAAACACAAGAGTGGGAGAGAAAGAAGCAGGCTCCCTGCTCGGGGCTCGATTCCAGGACGCTACGATCATGACCCGAGCAGAAGGCAGACGCTTAACGACTAAGCATTATTATGCAGACGTTTGAAAATAACGTAAAAAGGAAATGAAATGCTTCCCTTTTTTCAAAATCCATCTCCACCAAGTCAAGAAAAATTTGAAGGTTCCCGCACTAGTTGAAGGAGGCCCAGTTCAGGAAAATCGCAAAGGGGCAGGGCTCTGAGTTTTCTAAAAGCAAGTTCTTTGTTTAGAACATTCTGATCACAGGGCGTCACCAGCGCCCCCCTGCGGAAGAGAAAACCCCGACAGGCTTCTTGCGCCTTCCTCAGGTTCCCGTAACTTTGAAAAGGAACCGCTTTGGAAGGCTGTGAGAACCGTCCAGGGCACTGCTAAAAGGGGTGCTTCTTCCAATCGAGAATACTTTGAACATACCCATTGATTACTCTGGGCTCATGCTATAGATCCACGGCGACAAATCTTCCCTGGAACATCCAATCTCTTGGTTAGCCCAGACAAAGGAGAGCGGCCACGTGGGGAACGGAGGGAGAAGTTGGCATGCGAACTTCTCCGAAAGCCCAAAGCCGTCACCGAACCGCGGGCTGGGTGACCACCAGGAGGGGCGGCTCTCAGTGACCCCCCTCACCCCCCCACCCGCGGCCCCAGCCCAGACCCGGGACGGGAAGGGGAGACCAGGAAAGACACAGGGCGGCGCGCGCTCGGTACCCGGAAGGCGGCTGCCTGTCCCTCGCGGCTCCGCGGCTCCGTCGCTGTGAAGGTGGCGCGGGGGTCCGCGGAGCGGCCGCCGCCGCAGAAACAGCAGCAAAGCAGCCAGAGGAGCCGCAGCGCCCGCAGCTCCATCCCCGCGGCCCCCGACCGCCGGCTCCCGCCGGGTTTCTCTTTCGATTCCTCGGCTCCTCCCCCTCCCGGGTTTGCGGGTTGGGAGCAGCTGAACTGGGTGCACGGTGCTGGGGACTCGGCCGCTCCTTTAGGCGCCAACGCTCCGTACCTGGGAATCCTATTAGCTGGGAACGGTGGCGGTTTCGCTGGTGTTTTGTGGCAGTTTTAGGCACATGACCATGTGCTTTCTGGTTTCATCTCCCAGCTGTTAGAGGAAAGCCTGAGAGCCATTCCTTATGGAGCACGCGAGAATGCAGACTATTGTGTCACCTGAGCTTCGAGAATGAAGTCCTTTATTTTTCTTCCTTTTATCTCAATCTGAAAGGTTCAGGCAGTATTTGAATTTTACTTGGCCTTATTTCTGTTGTTCCTGCCGCGATGGTCTCTAACATTTAGGACCTAATTCTAAAATGTTAGCGAATTTACACAAAGGCATTCATTCGTTTAGCAGATGTTTATAAATACCTAACAGGAATTTACAGTTGTGAAAATAATGCACAATGTCTTTATCTGTTATGTTACGGCCATTTCAAAAACTCGCAAACCTGTTTTTCTATTTGCAAAGAAGGGTAGAAGTAGCACGTACTTCTGAGTTTGTAGTGAAATTTATTTTTTTTTTAAGATTTTATTTATTTATTTGACAGAGAGAGACAGCCAGAGAGGGAACACAAGCAAGGGGAGTGGGAGAGGGAGAAGCAGGCTTCCCACTGAGCAGGGAGCCTGATGGCGGGGCTCGATCCCAAGACCCTGGGATCATGACCTGAGCGAAAGCAGACGCTTAAGGACTGAGCCACCCAGGCGCCCCTGTAGTGCAATTTAAATATAATAATCCACCTAAAACACTTTGCAAGATGGCTGGCATATTTTGAGGGTTCAGTTTTAGCTATTATATGTTTAAGGTAGCTTCCCCTCCTTTGTTTTATTATTGTAATTGCTTTCCACCTTCTCAGCTTAGTTCATAATAATCCATTCTTCATACTTTCTTCTTGTTTTTAGATTTTTCAAACCACATCACTTCATATTAACCCAATCCTAGAGAATGGACCTCAGAAGGAACAAAAGTAATGTTCAAATCAGTTAGCATCCCAATCTGGCAACATCTCAGATTAGGGATTTTCCTGTGGAAGGGGGAAAAAAAAGTCCCCTTGAAGGATCCTCTTGAAGGAAAAAAAAAAATCTCTTTCAGATGTCCATTATTGTGGGTGTCCTGGATTACTCTTGGAACAGCACAGATCTGTCTCTCAAATTTGGAGTGCACAGGAAATGTAAATTCTGGTCCAGCAGGTCTGGAGTGGGTCCTAATTCTGCTTTTCTTACAAGCTCCCCAGGCTGCTGCTGGCCCAGGCCACGCTTCAAGTAGCAAGCTCTATAACACAACTACTGTTTGTCCAGTTCTCAAGGTCGAGGGGGTGGGGGAGAGGGCTGGGGTATGTAGCTCAGAAATTTCTGTAGCATCCAGTGTAAAATGAAAATGAAGTGTCCTTATTCATAAATTGCTAAGAATTCCAAGACAGCAACAGCAGAGCATTAAACCAAGTAATGGGCCCTTCTAAGTACAAGGTCCTGTGTGACTGTACAGGCCACACATCCATAAAGGCAGGGCTAATGGGTCTTTATATGAGAATCTTTTCTAAGCAAGGCTTCCAGAAATCTTCAAAATTGATGTCATAGCCCTTTTAGATTTTTTTAGAACCACCATCTGATTTATGTCTTTAGTTTTGTCTAGGTAAAGTGAGTAATACTATTCTTTGATGCAAACGATGGTAATACAAACTATGTACATCTGTTTTGAGTATTGAAAGGAGAGACATGAAAGTCTTTTTGTATGCACATATGATGAGATACATTGCTCTTAGAATGTGTCATGATAAAGATTTAATTTAGATAATAAATTGACAGGTCAATGCCCCTCTTAGCCTCTTTAGTTCTTCTGTACCTGGTTCTGTACCATAAACAATTCTTATTTTTAAATGGAGCTTTGCTTTTAGATCATAGCTACTGTTTATTAACAATTTTTCTAGTCAGAAAAATTAAGTACAGCAGCAGTTCTTAACCCAGGGTAGTTGGTATTATAAAAGAGCTATTTCAACTAGATTTACTTCCTAAACTTGTGTCAACAAACATTTATTGAGCACCTATTAAGTGCCAGGCATTTTTCTAGGTAATGAGGACATGTGAGTACAGTACGTGACTAAAGAGACAAATCCCCGTCCCATAGAGCAGGCGTCCGGTGAGGAGAGAGACAGTAAATTAGTAAAAGTATTACGGAGCAATAACATGGGATAAGGAGAGTCAGACGTGCGAAGGAGTGGGGTTGCAATTTTAAGTAAGGTGCTTGCGATAGACTTTGCGGTGGAGGAGACATTGATCAAAGACAGGAGGTGAAGTGACATATTCGGGTATTTGGGTGAAGAGAAAGTAAGACAGAAGGGAGAGTCAATGCAAAGGCCTTAAAGTGGAAGTATGCCTGGCAAATTCCAGAAACAGAAAAGGGAAGTGAGCGTGGTTGGAGTGGAAAGAAAGAGGGGAAGAGTAGAAGATGAAATGAGAAACCGACTCTAAGGTCCTTGCAGGCTGATTGAACGGGAATCAAAAGGACCTATGAAAAAGTTAAAAAAAAAAAGTGATTGGAAAGACTTATCTTGTAAAGTGAAGGTCACAAGTATCTGCCTATTTGTAGAATAAACACTATAAATGGCATCTGTAAGGGAGGTGTAAACTTTTTTTAATTAAATTTGCAAAATAGCCCATGGGGCTTCCTTCACGGGGTAGTCCTTATCTGTTGCTGCATAACAATAACCCCCAAACTTAGCAGCTCAAAAACACTGATATTTATTATCCGTGGGGCCAGAATCTGGAAACAGCTGAGCGAAGTGTTCTGGTTCAGGCTCTCTCCTGAGGTTGCAGACAAGCAGTGGGAGTACCTGTAGTCATCTGAAGGAGGATTTGATTTCAAGCTCACATGGCTATTGGCAGGAGTGCTTAGTTCTCCAAGCTTTTGAACAAAGTCCTCAGATCCTTCCCACCTGGGCTCTTCAGAGAGCTGCTTGTGGCACGACAGCTGTCTTCTTCCGAGTGAGTGGTTAGAGAGAGAGAGAACGAGCCAGGGGATGATGATGAGGTTGGAAGCAGCAGGGTCTTCTGTGACATAACCTTGAGAATGGAACGCCGTCCCTTCCGCTCCTGTTTTCACAGACGAAGCCCAGTGCATTGTAGGAGCTGGGGATTGCCCAGGGTGGGAACACCGGAAGGTGGGGCTCCTTGGTGCTATTCTGAAGACCAGCTACCAAAACCTTATCTTGCATTTTAGCAGCCCAGTGACAAACATGGTCATTTTTTTTTTTTTTTGTCTATGAAAACAATCCGGGACTTCATCCATTTTCACAAATGCTTCTCAACTTCTAGGATATTCCAAATCGCTATTTATGGTTGTTTCCTACCTGTCAAGAACCTTCTGGGTTTTCTCCAGGTTTTAATCATTGTACTTCATTTTTAAAGGGCTTTGTTATGGAATTATTTTGTTTTTATTCTTAATAAACACTCTTGTGTTTATTATGATTTACCTAGCATGTGCTAAGCACTTTACCTATATTTAATCCTCATAACACATACTTTCAGTAGATAGTATGATCATTTCTATTTTATAGATGGGGAAACTGAGGCACAGAAAAGTTAAGGTACTCGCTCAAGGTCATACATTTGGTAACTGGTGTATCTAGCATTTGAGTCTGTGCCGTCTAGCACTGGTCTATGCTATGCAGCCTCTCCTGTTCTTCATCATCATATTTATAGACTTCATGAAATCCTACACCTTCTCAGAGATGCATTATAAATTTGTTATCAGTGATCACTATAATTGCATGAGATACTGTAAGTTCAAGTAATCAGCTAAAGATTGTCAGATAATTTGAAACATAAGCTGAGAAAGATGTTAGTATTAAATTGGGGAAAATAATTGAATGAAGGTTAATTTTATAACGGGTTAGTTCTTTAGTGAATGTTTTCATGATATGGGGAAGTTTGCATCCCTGCAGACCTCATGGCTGCAGGGTTTCAGATAATGAATACACTGATAAGGAAGTTTGTCCCTTGCCTCTAATACTTACAACAACCGTGCAATGTAGGAATTATTATCCTCACTTCACAAATGAGGAAACGGACTTGTATAGCAATTAAAGACTTTATTCAAGATCCTAAGTGGTAAGCCGCCACAGTAAGATGTAAGTTGAGCTGTGAGATTTCAGAGCTCATGCATGGTTTTTCAGCTACACCAGGCTGCTCTCAGTTACTCCAAGGCATATTATGTGGTTGTTTCTTCTTCTTTTTACTTCGTGTTGGCTTTTCTTTATTAATCAGACCTTTCACAGTGCCCCATGAGCTTTCTATGGTCTAATATAAATTATAGAAAAACATGGCATCCAATAATGTCTTTGAGTCATTGTATTACTTCTATGTTGAATGGTTGTTTTTTTTTCTTTTTAATTTTTCTCCCTATGTTGTGGGAAGGGATATCATTCCTCCAGGCAACTAATTAGCTAGTATATGGATTGAAAGATTTGATTATCTTCAGTCTTGGACTTTACAGTGAAAATCTTACCATTGCCGCGAAATCTCACAAACACACACCTGCCTCTTTTGTTGTAGTTATTGCGGTTGTCCTTAACCTCTTGGATTGGCAACACGTCAGAGTGACTCTATAAATTCTGCCTAAGAAAAGGTGTTACCTAAATTTCTAGATTCGAGACTTTCAAATTTCCTTTCTGGCCAAAAAAGAAGAAATGCTGTCTGAACAGCCATTGCTAATGGGCAGGATTTGTCAGGCTTTAGAAGTAGCTCATTCTACTTTCTCAGCTGGAGGGGAAAGCCTACCACAGGGGCTGCCAAAAATGTGGTAAAACAAAGGAGAATGTGGGAACTCCACCGACCAGCTTCTAACGAGGAGGGAAAATACCATTAATGAAAAGGCATA